AACATCAGGGATGAAAGAGCCAAATGGCGAATGATTGGCACAGATCCTTTCTGACAGGTAGTCCACCTCCAGCTTGGGTAGGCTGTCTTCGAACTTTTGGCATCAACGCCAGTGGACGGAACGAAGCTATATCTCCGTTTGTCATCACCAGATCCGTCCAGATCCTTCCCAGAGTACCACCACAACACGACCATACTTTCTCTTTGTTGGAAGGTGGGTTTCCTCTAGCGAGAGAAGAGACCTGTCGTGCTCTTGGAGTTTTTCTCTATCGCATCAATAAGACAAATGGATCATCTGCTATATGGGAAATCTTGGAACCTTTGAGCAACCAAAAACCAACAGTTTGATGCCATAACTTTGATCGCCCCCCCAAAAGTACAACTATATAAATAGGAATATAAACACACTAACAAATACACAACTAAAAAATGCAAAAACCATGGTCTCCTTCCCTTCCGCACCCCGTGCGCCTTCTCCCGACCCACGCACCCACCCGCCTTCCGGACTCGCCTGCTCGAGGCCTCGCCCCACAGCGAGTCGGAGCTCAGGGCCTTGGCACGACGGGCGGCGGAGCTCGGTGAGGCGCCCCTCATTGCCGGGGCACACACAAAAACCATTCGGGGACGATGGAGGCCACATCAAGTTGTTCCTTGTCTATTTTTATCTGGATGATTGTGGGTTTGAGCTATGTGGAGTGATGAGCTGATTTTGTTGGTGATTTGGTGTAATAATGAGTTCATCATTGTTGTAGACTTTCAGCGCTTATACAAATGCGTTACAGTAAAGGATTTAAAGTCTTTAGTTTTCGAGGAAACACGAAAGGCTCACAGAGTCGTGTTTCTCTGGGCATCCTGTGCTTTGTCCGGTGTCCGGCCAGGCTTTGCCAGAACCCGTCCCGTCTTGGAACCCATCCAAGATCTTGGAAACCTGGCGCAAGTTCGGTGGTCTGAGTGGCAGAGTGATGACCTTACCTCCAGGAAAATGAACATGCGGACCCACACTAGAGCAGCGAATGCACTGCCGCTACTGGACACCCTACAAAAGTGAGCGCTTTCGGAGCAACCTTGCAAATAGTATAATTAGTCTCGACATCTATGGACAGAGGTCTCACGTGCTGATTGTGTTTCAAAGCAGGGTCCCATGGACTAGTGGTTCAGCCGCCGATTTGGGAACCATCATCATGACAAGACCAGCATCATGACTCATGACAAGACCGTCAATCTCCACCCATTGAGGCGGCGCCAAGGGGTAGCTGGAAACACCAAACGCCCTGACCCTCATGGCCGGCGAATCTCAGGATCAGCTGGAGTCATGGCTGTCCGAGAAGTTGGAAGTCAAGGACCAAGGCAGGATGCATGCTGATGCGGATCCAATGGGCTCCGTCTTGATATGTTGTGGTCTGACTACACGAGTCAGATGATATGCTTTCTATTGATTTCTGGACCACAAACTATCCAGGAAGTATCACATTCAAAGAAGTCTACTTTGTTTCTGGACACGTTTGTGTCACTGTGTGTATGTGCGTTGTGGGTTCTTCGTTTTTGACACCCCGAATCTGCTAAAGAAGCGGCCACAAGAACTTTGTCTCCGAGTCGTGCTGAGTTGTTTCCACTGTGGAATCCAATAAGCATAGCATCGATCGAACTGTTTGCCTTGATACTCGGAGTGAAAGGATGCAAAAGAGCTGTTTCAGCCCATTTGGTCATGCCTTTTATGCCTTTTTGCAGTTCCTGTAGTGCCTGTTGGAAGACGTGTATCGTGGCCTGCCAGACATGAAGACGGAGAACTACTTGCAATGCAAGTTATTGCCTGGTGCAAGTACGTCGCGAATATGCCGCCCCTCGTGCAGCTAGTGAAAACAATTTGGATCCTTGTGGAGATGATGAATATGGCCACAACCATTGGCCGCCAGTGGAGTGGGATTCTGATTCCATTCGAGGGATTCTGGACGCAAAGACAATGCAGCCAGCAGTTGCATGCTGAGACCACAATTCTCTTCGCTTGTCCGGGCAATGTTCTGAGGCTGCAAATGCAGCAGAACCTTTAAGCATCCAATGAAATGCCTTCCCGTCCCGTGACCCTGCGGTGCTCACATAAGCCTGTTCATTCCCCAAGCAAGAACAAGGTTTGTGTGCGCTCTTGACGTGGTGCTTCATGTTTCTGACAGCGATTTCGATTGCAAAACACTTGAGAACATCGTCAGCAAGAAGAGTTTAGGAAATCAAGCAAAGCGAGACCCTGCAGCACTATGCAGGACTGCATTGAAACAATATATAAACAAACAGTTATTCATTGGATTTGTATAATTGAAGATAATGTAATGCTAATGATGCCTATGCTTCATAGTAGCAATGCCAGCATTTATTGTCATCAAATACAATTCACATTGGAGTTTGGTCACTCTTGGAAGGTCGAAGTTTGCCAAAGTGCACGTGGAGCTTGGAGCCTGGGTGCTTGACACTCTCAGGCCGGTGAGGGTGATTGAGAGAGCCTGCTTGGGTGGTTGAATTGGGAGGTGGACGTCAAACAGGAGATGGTTGATGGTTCTAGGAGAGGTTTGATCCACGAAGTATGAATTGTTCTTGATCAAAACCTTCCAAGATTTGGTGGTGTTTGGACCCGACCATGGGTGCAACACCGAAGCCTTCACCACGACAAGCCTCAAAAAAACGGGCGGGTGGTGTGGATCGATGGCTGTGCTTGTCATGGCTTGTCAGATCTCGAGTCCTGTCCACAGGAAAAAATGGGGTGCAGATTCGTCCAAGTGATGATTCCAAGTGATTGCTTGCGATTCATTTGAGACTGCGGATTCATTTGAGTCCTGTCCTGTGATCATTGGAACAGCAGATTCATCCAATGTGGCTCAGCCGTTTTTCGATGCGTGGAGCACCGGGCATGTCCAGGGGCAGTGGGGTGTCAGGCTGTGGTGCCTCACATGCCTGTAAAAGTCTTTGCATGCTCCTAGCTACAACATGTTCTGGTCAACATTGAGTCACATTGAGTCGACATGTATTCCATTTCAATTCCTTTCCCACCTGCTACAAAGGTCCTGGTGGACATTGAGTCGACATCTATTTGTCCAAAATGTCCTTTTAAGAAAAAACGCCAGGAACCACCCGACCAAACCCACCTGACAAACCACCATCAACCATCGAAACCATCGGCACATCGCACAGATCTAGCGGAGCCAGGCTTTCAGCGGATCTGCGGACCTTCGCAGGCGGAGCCGGAGGCTCCAGCCGCTGGGGGGGCCCAGTGTTGGAGTGGATGCCAAGTGATTTGTGAAAAAGAATGAGCTGGTGGAGAAGTGGATGGATGGAACACTAAGTGATGGATCGATGATGGATGAAGTGGAGAAAAGTGATGGCGGATATATTATTGGAGAGCTGAAGGGAGGGATGGATTGCAGGTGATTTGGAGGAACATAAGAATTGAGTCATGAGATGTCATGAGTCAAGGTCAAAACGATCCACAAGTGTTGTATTTGCATCAGGAGCATTCACCAAGCCCTGCTGATTGGAGTGAAGGCAGCAAGTTTATCACCCCCGACCGGCCCCGACCACTATTGAAAATTGTTTCTCGTTTCGCTGCCAGGGAGCATTTGCTGTCAGAGTCATGTTTAATCAAATAATAGGCACTTGTGGATTCTTGTGGACTTGTGGGCATGTTGTACTTAGATCAAGTCTGCTGGGATTTGGGAAACTAAACTTTTCACATTCACTTGTAACACTAAAAACCTACCAGAGGTTTGCGCGACATGTCGCTAAGGCAAGCTTGCAAAACTTCACCTCAAGGATTTTGAAATTGCTTTGTTAAGCAGGCCATTGTGGTCCTCTTGGGTAGATCATCACCTGCACAGACACATACGATCGGCCGGACGCTCCCCAAAGTCCAGACGCGTCAGTCCTCCCCAAGTATGGGCGAGTCACATGCCCTGTGCCTAGTGCTTAAAGTTTGGCTTAAGTTTGGCCAACCTTGGGTTTCAGGCTCACTATCACTGGATTCCAGTGGAGTACACCTTGAAGAATTATGAGTATGCTTCCAGGTCTTTTCTATGTGATATGCAGTAGATGCAAGGCGATTCAGAAACGCCACCGCCTTCAGGAACGGCCGCCTTTGGTCCTACCAGTGCCCTTGGTGCAGGTGTCCTGTGATACTGTGCAGGACATGTGATTCGCGCGGTTCACGTTTGCGGGCAGCATCACTCCAGTGAAGACTAAGTAAGTAAAGTGAAGGAAACCTTCAGGAACGATAAGGTTCACAGAAAAAGCGATAACGTTGGGAAGAGTGCGCACTACAACACATAAGAGGTTTTGCACGTCGCTCATATGTTTCACGAAACAAATTGTTTCCCGATCCTGTAGGACATGTCTTTCTTCAGAAGGGCCGCTGGCTAAAATGCCGACACCGGAGAATTCATTCCCCCGTTACCAGGGTCACCCGGTAAGCTTTGTTTTTTTTGACAGAGGGTTTGATGTCAGATGCTCTTTAGATACAGCCAACTCGTTGCAAGTGTTTTCCCATGCTATTCAGACCATGGACACATTGTTGGTGATGAAATCAAACGAGTTCAGCAGTTGATGGGAGCGAAGGTGCCATTCAATTGATTGGAGACTAAGATGTCCATCACTATCACCAGGGTATCAAATTTCCGGGGCCTGGGATGATGAAACTGAGAACTAGTTGATAGTTTCGGGTGCCTGAGAGAAGCAACCTCCCAGTTGAATTGACAAGAGCTCATTAGCAGGGTGCAGCCCCCCCATGATGGAAGTCGCAACCCAGCGACGACAGAATGGCAACCAAAAGTGCTTTTCTACTGCCCATTCACACTCGTTGTTTTGAGACCTCCCTATATTATTGTAGAGAACACATGTGAAGACGAAACCCCGCGCGCAGCGTCACTTCACCGCAGCCATCTCCAATTTTGAGTCCCCAAGCCCCACCTCTTCACCGCAGCGTCGCTCCGTAGACCGGATCTCGTTTCGGGTCTCGACCGGGCCATGAAGCTGGAGAACGCGGTGATCGCCGTGACGGGCGGCGCCAGCGGCCTGGGCGCCGCAGCGGCGGAGCTGTGCCGCGCGAAGGGCGCCAAGGTGGCGGTGTTGGACATGAACAAGGCGCGAAAGCCATTGGCCCCGTTGGGGCCGTTGGTGTTGTTGTTTTGTTTTGTTTTGCTGGGGGAAGGATTTTGCGAGGTAGATAATGTCAGTTGAGAACCTTAAAAGGTTGGGGGTTCTGTGCTTTTTCGTGGTTGTAGTGCTCAGTTCAACCCGGTTTGTTCGAGCTCTTTTTGGGTCAGGAGAAGGGCGAGGCCTTTGCGCAAAGCCTGGGCGACAACGTTATCTTCCTAGAGACCTGGACGATGACGAAGGGATACGAAGGATTAAGTGTTTCTGAGGTTGCAAGGACGTGGAGGGTCGAGTGCTATGCTTCTGGGAAAGACGTTCTGATAATTTGTTTGCAGATGATTGGGGATAGACATGTGGGTGCTATTGACGAGACAAAGAATGCTTATGGTGACTGCTGTCCTTGATGGTTTTGGGCTGACATATATACCAATGCAATTGGATTTGGCCAGTTATGATCCTTTTTGTTGCAGTGGATGAACACGGATGGTGGTGAGGAATGCAATATTTTGGATGAGAAGTCCGTGGCAGACTGCATGGCCGCCATCAAGGAGCTTGGGCATAGCAACTTCTAAATATATATACTATGACTGTATGATGCCAATATATTCTAGATATGCTTGGTATCTGCACATGGCTATGCCACGCTTGGTGCCACCAACTCTCTTAGCCTAAGTTAGAAGAGGGGGTAAGACATTTGGAAGGTTTCCCGGATGTTGGAGCCCACCCGGCGCACCCGTCAGCCATGGCAGGAGAAGTTCGGCAAGCTTAGCGGTGTGGTGAGCTGCGCTGGAGGGCAGACCATGGGCACTGGCCTCACGGTGGACAAGAAAGGCCACTTGACTCACTTCATGCGCTTGAAGAAAGGTCTAATGCGCTTCAATAAGCTTCACTACATTCTTAGAACCAGCCGATGCGGTGATGTGTGCCGATGCCTGGTTTTTTGGATGGTGTGGTTTCACCTACTCAACTGGTCAGTCCGGATTCACCGCTTACCGGACAGGTCAGATGTTCTGCTCAGCAGGAGGTCTTGTGATGTTTGTGACGTGCACAGATCACAAATCAACCAAGGAGTAGCACCTGACAATTGGTCAACTTTTTACAAGCAGAAGGTTCAATTCCAGGATGCTCAAAGACACTGATCGATCCGGGATCAGAGTATGTCACATCATCATGTCGATCAGAATGTTTCCAAGGAGAAACGACCCCTCAACGCTGTCGAACAGTTGTTGCGCCTTTCGGGGACCCATATTCTTGCATTTGATACATATTGATGCTCTCTAAATCCAGAGTCTTAAGGCCCTTTTGGGCATCACTCGCCATTTACGCCATTTCCCCTGTGTACCTTTGGCTTTTTTTGAAGACGGAACGTGGCTTTGGCCAACGTGGCCGAGGAAATCCTCATCCGTTGGCGCCCTTCCGGACTGCGGGGGGGGAAACATGAGTGGATCAGGAAAGGACTTCTGGGTTTCAACAGTTTCAACACTGGCGAAACAAATCATCGTGAAGATCCCTGGCTCCCTGACATACAGTAATTCTCACAACAAACTTGTAAGATGGTCCCTCATAGCACCCTCTTAAAAAGCGGGAACAATGGGCATCGACTTGGAGGGTTCCACCTCCATGGACTTTGGGGGGCAAGAAGGTCACCAAGTGCAGGAAAACCGTGGAACTCAACATCATCGGCACCTTTCTCGTCGCCTCCCAAAGTGCCTCGGTGTCTTTTCGCAACGCCGTTTGGAGTGGAGATATTCCAACAAAATGTCAGTTGCCGTCGTAGGGGTTCAGTGGGATTTCTGATTGGGAGAGAGCTGTAGGCTGTAGGATAATTGTTGAAACTCAAGCACCAAGCACAGTGGAACATTTTTTGTAGGTCAAGGTCAAGGATAATGAGGAAAGTATGATTCCATCTAGGTTGTCGGGTGCCAATTTCCGAGGGCTTCTTCGGCAACATGCAGATCATTTGCAGATCATTCCACTCATGTTCCAGTGCCAAAAACGCCTGGGGATATCGGGATATCAGATGTGCTTCTACAGGTTTTGATAAAGTTCTGAGTTGTGAAAAAACGCTGCCGGGTAGGAAACGCGCTCTTTCGAAAACGCTCGAAAACGCACTGAAAACGAAAGTACTGAAAACGCAGGTCAACATCAAGAAAAAACGCGCTGTTGCTGGAGGGGGGCTTTGGCAATACCAATAGACCAAAATGCTTTTATCGGATTTGGATAAATGCAATTTGGGTGGTCTATGGACCATGTTCAAACATTCTATGGAACATGTCCAAACATTTGGGGAGTCTATGGACCGTGGTCAAAAGAGACTCAAAAGTGAGAGATCCTGGCTACATCCAGGTCGTCCACATCATTGCTTTCCTCTTGAGCCCTCGATCCCGCGTCTTGATGAAGAAGCATGCCAAGAGAGAGCCAAAGCGCAAGGATGGGCTTCCTACTGCGAACTACAATGTGCTGTGGTCTACTCACAGGCCAGAGATGCGGCCATTTCTTCGGGCACACTTTGCAGACAATCCCGTTGGGTTCACTGGTGCATGGGCTGAGTGGCAACAATATGAAGCTGGAAGCGGACGCTTTGCAGGTCTTTCTTTTGAGATGTCGGAGGATTCGACGCTGGCCTCCTGGTGGCGTGACCAGACGCCCTCCGCTTGGTTGAAGCATGTCATGGCCTTTCGCTTGTTGCTTTTTGCGGCATTCAGAAAAAGCAATTCCGCATCGATTTGCTT